TTTTGACCTCCAAGAAGTATGAGAGCATAAATACAATTACATTTGTTACCTTAGAATGTAACCACATGGCAAAGGCTGAAGCACAATGAGAGCTTTTTGAGTAGAATTGTTTTCATTGGCATGATAAGTAGCTCAAAGTATTTTATTTCATTGTTAAGTTTTGAATGAATATTTTTTAAAATATTTTTTAGTTTGAATTTATGGTAAAATATGCATAGCATAATATTTACCACCTTCACTGTTTTTGGGTGTACAATCCAGTAGTGTTAATTAAGTATATCCACATTGTTATGCAACCAATCCCCAGAACTTTTTCATCATATAAAACAAAATGTGGACCCACTAAACAACTCCCCATTCCCCCCCTTTCCCAACCCTCAGTAACTGCCATTCTGTGTTCTTTTTATTTGAATTTGACTACTTGAGATACCTCAGGTAAGTGGAATCATTCGGTATTTGTCTTTTTATGACTGGCGTACTTGGCTTAGTGTAATGTCCTCAAAGTTCTCAAATCTAAGAGGGCCCGTTTGTCTCTTGTTCACTCGTTGCTGAGTAGATGTAGCCCTTTGGAGTTCCAGCTCATTGTGGAAGGGCCTTCAGTTAGTGCTCTACCTCGGCCAGCCCTGAACTTGGATTTCTGCTCAGGAGATCATTAAAATTAAAGTTCTAGTTTGCCAGAATCACTCAATGTCTTGAGGGCTAAAGTGGCTTCTCTAGAGCTCTTCTCTGGGTTCCTGTTTGCCTTAGCCTCAGCCTGGTTATTCCTTTCCCAGTCGTAAAGCTTGAGTGCTTTCCAGAAGATTTTTTTTTCTTTTTAATATCGAATTCAGTGTTAGTTATTTTCAGCGGAATGGTGGGCCTCATAATAGAACTCACCTTCCCAGACGCCTCTGCTACCCCCATCCATTCTGGGGCTGGACATGATTAATCTTTAACCCCATTTGGCTCGTGACCAAATCAGACTTTTGCTTAAACATGCACCTCTGGCAGGAAATCCTCCTCTGTGGCAACATGAGCTATAGGCCCTCCCCCCACAGGACTCAGGAGCCAGTGTCAAAGCCCAGGGTCCTATGCTCTGCTGGTGGCTTTGGAAGAAGGAGACCTGTTGGGAAGGAAATTTCCTTCTCTGGCCTTTCAGTTCCTGAGGGCTTGATAAGGTGGTCTCGTTGTTTGGAGCCCGGTTATAATTGAGTTGGAGTAGAGGGCAGGAGCTAGTTACTTTTTTAGGATGCTAGATTGTCAGGTGGATAATGAGATGACTCTTAATTTGTCCACACAGCTGGTCACAGGCTGGTGGCTGAGAACTGAGCTTTTAGTCCCTGGGAGAGCTGTCCGTGAGGGAGCACAGGGAGTGGGTACCAGGTCCAGGACAAAGCAGTCATAAAGCCCATGCGTGACATGCTGGAGGAGGCAGCCTGCTGTGGTGAAAAAGGCATCAGGACATCAGTGTCAAAAGCCCATGTCTAACTGTCCCTCCCTTCCCCCTTCTCGGTCAGTGCCGTGGCCTTGGACAAACCATGTTATCTTCCTGGGGGAGGGTCAGTTTTGCTGGCCCTAGCAGCCAGCCACGGGAGGACAGAGAGGAGGGAGCTTGCAGTAGTCCCCGAGAAGAGGCAGTGACCCACTTGATGGGTTGTCTAGAACCCAAACCATTGACTCTGGTTCCACCACATTCAATTATCTAGCAATTTTGGTCCTAGAAGCAGCTTTTCTTCAATCTAATCCCCTCATTTTGCAGATGGGCAAACAGGACCCTGAGATTTTCTTCTATTTAACAGTAGTAGTGCTGCTGTGGCCTCACAGGGCAGGTTTTATCATATTTTATCAGGTAAAATAGATAAAACACAAACATAAAAATAAGCCTACAAAAAACCCCAATCTGGCGAAGTAGAGCAAGGCTTCAGTCAGTGCGGATGCGGGGGAGTTTATGCTGGATCTCTGCGGCTACTCCCTGAGCCCTGGAGAAAGACACTGGATGGTAAGCCAGACTGTCTGCCCTTAGCTGGCTCCCTGGCACCCAGCTCTCCGTGGGTCCAGCTTGGGCCCTACTGGCTGACATAGGCCTTGAGACAGTCTGATCAGAGAGGAGCAGAGGCCCCTTCAACTGGCAAGACAGGGGGCCCGACTGTGTGGAGGAGGATTGGGCAAGGAGGCCCCAGTGGTGGTCCTTCCTGGGCAGGTGCTTGCTCGTTGTACCGCAGGCTCCTGGATACACTGCTGTTTTCTGTTTTCTCCCTTTGGCTGCTGCCTGGACGGGACTTTGCCTGCGGATTCCCAGGCCATCCCACCCTCAAGGATAGACAGGCCTCTCCACTCTTGCCTTGCTCCCCAGAGGACTGACTCACACTGTTCAGCCCCCAAATCGTGCTCTGTCTTACCTCTGTGCCTGCAGTCATTTTAACTTATAGCCACCACTACCCGTGAAGCAGCCTCAGAACAGCAGAGCCTTACAGGTCATCCTTTATGTTATTAAAACAATTTAAAGATTTTATTTATTTATTTGAGAGCGTGCGCGCGAGAGAGAACTAGCAGGAGGAGCAGATGGAGAGGGAGAAAGAATCTCAAGCAGACTCTGCACTGAGTGGGGAGCCCGACACAGGGCTTGATCTCACGACCCTGAGATCATGACCTGAGCCGAAGCATGGGACGCTTAACTGACTGAGCCACCCAGGTGCCCTGTTAGTAAAGCAATTTAAATGAAGCTTATTTTTCAGCCTACTGAGAATTACCAAGTATCAAACTTTTCTTTTTAAATTACCTCTATAATTTTCTTCTTAAATTACACTTACAAAACTAGGTGACAGTTAAATGAAAAACGTGTTGCACTTGGTATTTTTCTTCTTACTAAGCTTACAAACCTGTTGGTTTAAAGATAACCGGGAAGGATTGTCCTGGACCTGAGGCTGTGTGTCTTTTTAACTTGCCCTCAGCTCCTGGATTTAAATTGCTTTGTCTGCCCATAAAGATCATTCCCTTTTCCTGAATCTGTTGGGGATAGGAGAGCCTGAGGGTCATGGTGAGCATGGGCAAAACTCTGTTGGAAAGTTTCTATGAACATAACTTCTCTTAAGTATTGATGCTAAAAATGTGTAGTTACAGATGTGTCCACGTTGTGACTGTGCTCTTGAATGGTCGTTCTTGTCATCATTGGGGTATTTTCTGTTCTAGTGACGCAGGATCACTGCCACCCACGCCCCCACCAAAGGTTTACTTTTTCTCTTGTTGGTAGTATCAGGTGCCAGCATTTTGCACATGAATATTTGACAGAAGACTCAAATATAGGAGTTCTTCAAACTAAAGAAACAAGCAAGCAACGTAACATTGATCGTCTCTCGTAGATTACTTGTGTAAGTGTATTATGTTGGGTTGTATACAATCATCTATAAACATGTAGGATTTTAGATTTGGAAAGAACTCGTGATCCTCCATTTTACAGATGAAGATTCTGAGAACCAGACAAGTTTTGGCTTGTTCAAGGTCCCACAGAGTCAGCTGGAAAAAGAGCAAGTGCCAGGAGCCCTATTTGCCTGCCAGCATGTATATACCAGCAGCTCCCAAGGCTGTGCTTACACTCCCCAGGATGCCGCTCCTGTACTTCTGGTCTCCCCCTGCTCCCCAGCGCCCACCCACCCTCCTGGAGGTAAAGGCCCATCTGGCAGGACACATCATGCCCATGCTCATCTTACACCTTTTCGCTTCTTTCCCATCATACCCCTTCTGCCACAACCTGCCCATCCATTTATTATTTAATTTAATTTAATTTTTTTTTTTTTATTTGAAGTAGGCTCCATGCCTAGAGCCTGGGACCTGCACTCATGACCCTGAGATTAAGAGTCACATGCTCTATTGACCAAGCCAGCCAGGCGCCCCTTCCCCATCAGTTTAAGAGGCTGAGCAGGTATCCTACTTCCCACACTGGTCTTCGCTTCCTCAGAACACCTGAAGTTCATTCCTCAAGTGTGTTTTAGCTCCTTTGATAGGGTCTCTTTCCAGATTGTGGTGTTAATTTCCATTTTGTAGGGTCTGTCATGGTGTGTGGTATCCAGTAAATAGGCCTTTAGTGAATAGGGAGAGAGGTAATGTACTAGATACCGCAGGGTCGGCTTGGTGTCTTCTGTTTTGCTGCCCAGCTTTTCAGGTGTCTGTCTTCTCCCCAGCTGGCTGCTGAGTTCCAGAAGGGCAGAAAGCATAGCTTCCACATCTCTCACCATAGCCCTTAACGGAGTTCTTGGTTGGTGATGGGTTACAGCATTGAGACTTAATTTTCCTGCCCTCTGAATCTTGGGTTCAGTTTAAAATATGTTTCCTTCATCCTGAAGCCCCAGAATATGACCATGTCTTCATGGCTACCTAAGTACTCTGCCATTGGGGGAATAAAGGAGCCAACAGGGTGATAGCAATTCATCTAGAGATTTCCCTTTCCACCCTTGGAGACTTTGCTGCTCCTTCGCTGTGGCAAGATAGTATGAATCCTGGTGGGAGAAGCAAGCCGAATATTTGTTAGGATTGCTGGGAAAATAGCACTGGAAGCAGTAAATCATCCTGAGTTGGCTTTTTATAGCTGGCAAACAGTGGTGAAGTTTTTGTTCCAAGATCCTCAAAATCCCCAGGCTGCTGCATTCTCTTCCGTTGGACTTCTGAGGTAATGCTGGTAACATCTATTGTGCAGGTATTTCAAGTGTTGAAATATAGAATGGCTGGTAGAAACGAGCCAGTTAAGAGGGAGGAAACAATTACTCAGCTGTTGTGAAGTCAGACAGATCGTATGGCCTTTATAATACCGGTTTGTAGCTTGCTCATAAAAGAGAATGCCTAACTGGGATTTATCTGGTGAAAATTAAACCATCAAACCCGCTCAGGTGAGAAACAGTGGCCGTCTGCCAAGGAAAAGCATAATCACCATTTGGAAGGGAGCTTCATCTGTGCTCCAGGGTGTACACGATAGCCTCTCCTGTGCGGAAACGGCTCTCTGACTTCCGGTTTCCTTGCTCTTTCCGCAGAGCCTGAGCCCTCGAGAAGCTGGCGATGACAAGTCTGAATGGTCGCCATGCCGAGAAAACCATTGACATGCCAAAACCATCAGCCCCCAGAGTGCACGTGCAGAGGTCCGTGTCCCGAGACACTATCGCCATTCACTTCTCGGCATCCGGGGAGGAGGAGGAGGAGGAAGAGGAGGAGTTCAGGGAGTACCTTGAGGAGGGGCTGGACGACCAAAGCATTGTAACAGCGCTCGAAGCCAAGGAAGACCTCTATCTCGAACCCCAGGGTGGCCATGACTCCTCTGGCCCTGCCGCCCAGCCCATCCTGGCAGATGGACTGTCCGTGTCCCCTGCCATTTTGCCCGTCTCCGAGAACACGGTAAAGCTGTTGGAGTCCCCTCCTCCGGCAGTGCGAGTACTAAGTACGGTGCCATTGGCTCTGTCCCCAGGGTCGTCTTCGTTAGGCCCCTTAGCTAGCTCTCCCAGTGTGTCATCCCTTTCTGAGCAGAAAACCGGTTCTTCCTCCCCGCTGTCCTCTCCTTCCAAGTCTCCTGTCCTCTCCTCCAGTGCCTCATCCTCTACCCTGTCCAGCACCAAGCCCTTCATGAGCCTTGTGAAGTCCCTATCGACCGAGGTTGAGCCAAAAGAACCCCCCCACGCCTCGAGGCACAGGCACTTGATGAAGACATTAGTCAAGTCTCTGTCCACAGACACCTCGCGGCAGGAGGCAGACACCGCGTCCTGTAAACCACCCGACTCCAAGCTCAACTTACACCTGTTCAAGCAGTTCACACAGCCACGCAACACAGGTGGGGACTCCAAAACTGCACCTTCCTCCCCACTGACTTCTCCCTCCGACACGCGCTCCTTTTTCAAAGTGCCCGAGATGGAGGCTAAAATCGAAGACACTAAGCGACGCCTTTCAGAAGTCATATATGAGCCTTTTCAGCTCCTTAGTAAAATTATAGGGGAAGAAAGTGGCAGCCACAGGCCCAAAGCCTTATCTTCAAGTGCTTCAGAGCTCTCCAATCTGTCCAGCCTGAACGGTCACTTGGAAAGCAATAACAACTACAGCATCAAGGAGGAGGAGTGTGATTCCGAGGGAGACGGCTGTGGGAGTGACCCCAGGGCCTCAGATGAGCCCTCAAGAGAGGTGGAGCCGAGAAGCTCCCAGGTGAGCGGTCTGAAGGACTTAGGCCTGAAGACGAGCTCTCTGGTTCTTGAGAAGTGTTCCTTGTCTGCCTTAGTGAGCAAAGAAGATGAAGAGTTCTGCGAACTGTACAGTGAGGACTTTGATTTGGAAACAGAGGTAGAGAGTACAGTTGATAAGCTCCCAGATATCCCTCTCAAGCCCGAGGTGCTGGCGGATGATGGTCCAACTCTTGACAGTGAGGACGAGGCCCACGCGGCCGTGCAGCACCCCGAATTACCAGTGAAGACCCTGGGCTTCTTTATAATGTGTGTCTATGGGTACCTCATCCTCCCCCTCCCCCATTATGTGAGTGGACTCTTTCTGGGAGTTGGTCTTGGATTCATGACTGCGGTTTGCATGATTTGGTTTTTTACACCACCAAGTGCTCATAAATATCACAGATTACATAAAAACCTACAACACTGGAACACAAGATCTCTGGATATCAAAGAACCGGAAATACTGAAGGTAAGTCTGCAGCCGCTGGTGAGCACACGCGCTGTCTCCCATACAGCCTGATTTTTAGATCCAGCTTCATTTTTTTTAGTTGATTGCCATGGGTTTTCACACAAGCAGTGTTTTTAAGCCTTTGAGATCTCTTCATTCTCCGGCCAAGCAAGAGACTTCGCTGGGAAACCTCATTCTAGTTCACGTTTTAGCAATTCACCAAGTTTTTCAAGGATCTCCATGGTGCTAGAGAGTAGCATTTACATCCAGTTCGTGTTTCAGTCTCTCTCTAAACTTTCCAGGGATTTGCTACTTGCTGAGGATTTATTATAGCTGAGTCTGCTAGGATTGCGTATTCTTGACACCCTGGAGGAGGGTTCAGCACTCCTGGAATGCCAGTGAAGGAAAGGAGGAAGAGAAGGCAGATTGGTGTCCTGGTTGGCCTTGTTGGCACTCCTCCTTCCTTTGTGCATCGTAAGATGCGGACTGGAGAAAGAGACCTCACTTCCCAGTGCGCAACAGTCTTGGGATTTGGGCCCCCCGCCGAGGGTGCTGGGATGATCTGTTAGGGTGCTAGAAGAAAATATTAGAACTTCCATTCACATTTATTTTTGTATATTTAAAAAGCTGCTGTGTTTTGTGTATGTCTCAAAATATACGAGATACAAACTTAACAGCTGTAGCTTAGTTTGTAAGTCATAGGCACATATACACGTTTTATATATATACATATGATTTTTTAATTGTGGTAAGATGCAGATAACATACAATTGACCATCTTAACCATTTTAAAGTGTACAGTTCAGTGGCATGAAGTACATTCACATTGTTGTGCCCTCATCACTAACGTCTGTCCCTTGTGCCCCAGAAGCTCCGCACCTGCTGAACAGTAACTCCTCGTTTCTTCCCTCCCTCCAGACCCCGGCAACCATAGTTCCACTCAGTCTTTTTGATTTTGAATACTCCGAGTGTCATATAAGTGGAATCAGACAGTATTTGTCTTTTTGTGACTGGCTTATTTTACTTAGCATAATCAGAATTAGTCAGAATTTCCTTTTCTTTTAAGGCCGAATAATAATTCCATTGTGTGTATATACTCCATTTTCCTTATCCATTCCTCCAGCAGTGGACACTTGGGTGGCTTCCACGTTTTAGTTTTGCTGAATAATGCTGCTATGAACATGGGTGTATAGATATCTCTTTGAGATCTTGTTTTCAGTTCTTTTGGGTATATACCCCAAAGTGGGACTGTTGGATCTGATGGTAATTCTGTTTTTAATTTTTCGAGGAACTGCCGTACTATTTTCCACAGAGGCTGTACCATTTCACCTTCCTGCTAGCAGAGCACAAGAGTTCTAATTTCTCCATATCCTTGCCAACACCTGTTTTCTGGGTTTGTTGTTTTGGTTTGGTTTTAGAGTTTTTTTTGGTAGTTCAAAGCTGCTTTCATTTCTCTTTTAATAGGGTTTTTCTCCCCTCTGTTTAAATAAGAATGCTTAAAAAAGTGGCAGCATCTCTTTCTATTGCAAAAAAATAGAAACAAAAACAAAAAAGCAAAACAAGGGGAAGAACACTCTAAGGGTCCAAAATACTATTTGTTTTCTAGTTTCATAAACTTTTTATCTTATTAGAAAGAAATACATGGACAATGTTTTTTTTGGTTTTGTTTGTTTTTTTAAAGATTTTATTTATTTATTTGACAGAGAGACATAGTGAGAGAGAGAACACAAGCAGGGGGAGTGGGAGAGGGAGAAGCAGGCCTCCTGTGGAGCAGGGAGCCCGATGCCTGGCTCGATCCCAGGACCCTGAGATCATGACCTGAGCTGAAGGCAGACGCTCAATGACTGAGCCACCCAGGCAGACAATTTTAAAAAAACACAGGAAACCCAAAGAAAAAAATTATTTTTTTTATCATACTAGTGGGAAGGGATTAACGATTTTGTTATATATCTTGGTTTTGTTCTTTTTTTAAATTTCTGCGAATATATATACACCACACGTGTGCATGCTCACTCTTTTGGTTTTGACTTAATGAATCATGTATTTGATTTTTTTTTTTTTCTTTCTTTCCCATGGCAGTATGTTAGTTATGGGACTTTCTTTTTTAAGAGAAGCTGGTGCTGAGTCTTGAGGATATGACACACTTAAGCTTAGTATTAATATATGAAGTGGAGTAAGAGTGACTCATTATGGTTGCTATGCTTTTAATAGGGTGGTGCTGTGACTGCCTGAGTTACATGCGCTGTAAGTCAGTTAGTATAACTTTAGCAAAGAAAAATGGTACTTCTATATTACTCCGATGCCTAACAATCGTGACATTCAGTTTTTTTTTTAATTTTTTTTTAAAGATTTTATTTATTTGACAGAGAGCACAAGCAGGGGGAGCAGTAGAGGGAGAGGGAGAAGCAGGCTCCCTGCTGAGCAAGGAGCCCGATGAGGGACTCGATCCCAGGACTCTGGGATCATGACCTGAGCCGAAGGCAGCTGCTTAACCAGCTGAGCCACCCAGGCGCCCCGTGACATTCAGTTTCAACTGGTTCGAGCACTTGTTTAGGGTGGCTTCATTACTGTTCAGGAAAAGTTGTATCTTAGCCTGGAGTCTTCTGTTTAGTGTACTGGGCTGTTTTTAGAAACCTGGCTAAAGGGGCGCCTGGGTGGCTCAGTCATTAAGCATCTGCCTTCAGGTCAGGTCATGGTCCCAGGGTGCTGGGATTGAGCCCCACACTGGCTCCCTGCTCAGCGGGAAGCCTGCTTCTCTCTCTCCCAGTCCCCCTGCTTGTGTTCCCTCTCTTGCTGTGTCTCTCTCTGTCAGATAAAATCTTAAAAAAAAAAAAAAAGAAGCCTGGCTAAATACTTTCTTTATTTTATAAAAGGAACACTACTACAGATTAGAAGGGTAGGTTGTATATTGTAAGCCAAAAATTTCAAATGCAAATGTTCTTTGGGCTTAATTAATTTTACTGAGTTGGAGATCATACTCTGGGGAACCGTTTAAAAAATATGACACTTTAAACATTTAGCAGTGTTGACATTAAATTTAGGACTCAAATGGTGTGATAAGAAAAGGAAAGTATAGTGGAGTCTATCTTTAAGCATCTATTTTGTGTTACATTTTCTCATTGGACATTGTGCTTTACTTTCTGTAAGAAGTAGGATAACACTAGCTATTGTAACAAATTACAGGTTTGTTTCTTGCCTGTGGAACAGTCCTGTTTGGGTATTCCTGGTGGGTGGGTGGCCATGCCCATGTGTTGACGCAGGGGCCCAAGTTCCTTCCATCTTGTGGCTCAGCAAACTTTCTTAAAAGGCCAGATAGTAAATATTTTATGCTTGTGGGTCATATAATTTCTCTTGCAATCACTGAACTCTTTATTGTAGCAGGAAAGCAGCCACAGACAATGTGTAAATAAATGGGTGTGGCCCATTTATAGAAACAGGCCTCGGGCTCAATTTCTTGACCCCTGCCTAGGGTATTAGAGTTCTTTGCATCCAGCCGGCAGAAGGAGAGTGAGAAAGCAAAAGAAGGCCTGCCTTCTGATAATGCCTGGACCTGGAAGTGACACACATCACTTCTACTCACATTCCATTGTGAGCTAGTCACATGGGTCCTCCAAAATGTCAGGTGTCCTAGGGAATCTGGGACTTGGCTGGGCAACTTCTTCCCAGCAACAGCTATACACTGTAGAAAGGGGTGTCCAATGTCTGAGGCACAGCTCGCCTTCTCTGCCTCACTTTCATAGTACTTATAAGAGCCCTAGTTATATGTATATCGCCTGTCTCCTCCAGTCCACCACAGGCTTCATGAATGCACAGGCCATGTCCATCGTGTTCATCGTTGTGTCCTCAGCACATGGCACATAATGGGCACATGATAAGTACTTATTGGATGAATAGGTGGGTAGATGGATGGATGATGAATGAGTGAATGAATGAATGAGGCTTTATCGGGAAATGTAGGTGGAGAGGCAGTATTGACCCTGTCATCTCCTAATGAAGTTGCTTTTTAAAAGAAATCCCTGATACTTAAGGAAAAAATTTAGTTGGGTTGATGAAAGGGGTGGTCTTTTGAGAAGACAAAAAGTAATTACCAAAAAGTACAGATTATGGAGAGGTTTTTCTTTTCCCACTGCAGTGGAAAAGCCAAGATGGTCCATCTTTGACAGGATTCGGAAGTTGATTACTACTTAGAAATCTCTGGCAGCAAGTCTGCTCTTCTCTTACCTGCACTCCTACAGCGCTGGCCTCCTGAATTCAAAGGGAGAAAAGATTGCTGGCATCTGCCAAGTAGAGCATTAGAGAAATGGGGATAGTGGCAAGTTCTAGATTTCTGCTCTCTAGATTTACGGCTTTAAGAGTGATGCAGGAGATGGGCCTTGGTTTCTTTATAAAACAGATCTGTGAACCTGTTCCTAGGGTCGGAAAAGCCCCTTTTTGAAAATAGGCTTGATTTAGGGAATTAGCTGTTTTGAATTATTTTCTGTGGAGGATGTAATGGTGCAGTTCTTGAGGGCAGGCATGGAAACTTTAAAAAAAAAATCACAGACATGGGTTATAAAACCTGCCTGTGATAAAGATCTCTAGTATAGAGGCCCAGCATTGACAGTGATCCTGTGTACCTCGTGCCCTCAGTAGACTCTCTGGGAGCCCCATGAACCAGACAGGCAGGAGGGTTAGTACTCCAGGACTATTTTAGGAGACTGTGTGTCTTTAAACTTCGGAGCCATGTAAGTTCTCAGTGATGGGTCCAGGACTGAGAGTCTGAGTCCTAAATTGGCTCCATAAACAATTCAGAAAGCATTGCAGTTTTTCTTCAGTGAGACTTCACATGAAGACGAAAGGGAGGAGAAAAGTAAAGCTCTTTTGTACTTTATCCAGGTGATTTTACTGTTCCATCCACACTGTGGACATTTGTATTTAAAAATGACCCTGTTACAGGGGCACCTGGGTAGCTCAGTAGGTTAAGTGCCTGCCTTTGGCTCAGGTCATGATCCCGGGGTCCTGGGATCGAGCCTCGGATCAGG